AGAGTTTCCCGAAGTTATTCAAGTGAACTTTTTTTGTTTATTTTAAATCTTTCAAGGGAAACCATGTGTGGACTACAGTAAAGTGGAGAGGATAGTTTGGCATTCAGGGGAGAGCTTGAGATGCCTCTCACTCATAATACTCATCAGGTACTCCCTAAAGAAAAGTCGAAGGGCACCCCACAGATCCATTTGAAAGCCATGAATTCTAATCCAGCCTCCTCGGTGCTCGGGTGGGAAGCGTGAGTCAGAGAAAAGTGCTGAAAGTCAAAACAAATGGATGAACATTGGCCCCTGGAGACCACTGAACCCCATTGATTTTCTGCAAACCTGACCTGGATGACAGCCGCAGAGGAAGCCTGCAAGGAGCCCCTCTCTTCAGCGTTTCAAGGCTTGTTGCGAGACAGATGGTTTGCTTCATTTTATTCATTACATTCATTCTTCGAATCTAACCCAGAAAATAAACACCATCAGGACCAAACATATGGTCAGGTCTTTAGCTTAATTTTTGTTTTTGGAGGGAAAGGCATCTTGGGTTAAGCTCAACGAAACTGGGAGTCCAAGAAGTGATTAAAAACAAAACAAAACCACAGCACAATGGATCCTAAACCTACCTGAGCATAATGAAGCCTGAGACTTGGCTCAGGAGGTATTTACTTTCTCAGGTCTCCGTGTGAGATGTTTGTTCAGTTGTAATCATATGTAACAACATGATTAACAAGTTAGATGTTTATAGAAAATAGGTCCTACAGGCTAGAAACTCTCAGAGAAAAGATACACGCTCTCCTTTTATTTTTTTTTAAATTGAAACTATAATGAATGGCATAAATATGTGCTTCAAAATTAGACCACAAATAATAAAATAGTTATTGTATTTAAGTTTTTGAATAGTCAATTTAAACTTGCTTCTCCCAATTCTTTTCTTTTCCTAAAAGGAAATGCAGATTTGAAACTTTGTTTATAATCCATATATTTAAATATTTAAATTTAATTGCTCTCTAGAGAAAGGTGTATCATAAACAATTTATTCTATTATACATTTAATATATTTTCTTATATTGTGAGAGCCCTCTGGTGGTTGAAAAGACACTAAATCTCTATGCTTATAAGAACAGAAATAGAGTTTATTACCAATCAAGATTTTCTTTACACAGATACTGACTCAAGTTCTATTAGAAATGGATGCTTATTAGAATTTCTATTAACTTTCATCTACTCATAGAATAGTAGATTAGTTTATTTTTACGGATTTTCTAGTATTAAAAAAAAAAAAAGATGTTACATGCTATATCTTTAAATCCAAATAAGAAAACACTGATTATGCCCAAATACATTTTCTCTTCCATCAGATTGAGAATAGTTAGGGAATTACATCTAAATTGAAATATGGGAGGGAAGGGTGGAGCAAGGAGGACTCTCCAGCAATCTCTGGCCCCACAGAAACATCAAATTTGAACGACTTCTCATGCATGAAAATATCTTTGTACGAGCTAAGGAAGCCAGAAAATATGTACTGAGGAAGGTAGGAAGGAAGTTGAACATCACCCACCCCACCCTCCCCAAACCCGGCAGCACACTGCAGAGGAAGGTTCTGTCTGTCTGGAAGACGAGAGAAAAGTGAGCACAGTGTTTTACCTGAGACTCCAACATCATGTCCACCACAGTAAAACACAGAGCCAGACAGGCCCCCAGGGCGCCCCAGACTCCAGGCTGGTACCTGCGGACCGAACCTCCGGACCCGTCCCAGCACAGGCAGGACCCCACATCCCCAGCTTCATGCCTGTGAGGCAAACTTCCCCTCCAGTCCACAGCACTATCAGGCCAACTTCAGAGGATTTCCACCGTAGGGGTTTATCATTGTTCCAGACAAGTCACGACTTCTAACTTATTTTCTACTGGAATTTCTAACATAATCTATGCCCAAACTATTTGAACACAATATTTTTTATAAAAAAAAAAAAAAATGATTTCTGATGCCAAAATAGTGGAATAGTCCTAAGTGAGTTCTAAGCTGAATTTGTTCCCCATCCCCACCAATGGAGCATCCGAGGACATAAAGTGTCAATTTGTCTTCTAAAGTGATTCCTCTTCCTGGACTGCTTCATTGCTTCCATCATTAGTTTTTAGCTTGGCTGGGGAAGAGAGTCATCAGGGAAAACAGGCTTAGTGTCCTTGTAATTCTTCCGTTCTCACCCATTGACCTCTGTTATCCTCACTTCCATGAGGTTAACTGAATTCCCTTGGCACCACCCACCCTGGCTCGGGTGGCACTGATGTAACACAGCGAAGGACGTAAAGAAGGTTCTCCTTCTCTGTCCCATCTCATTGTCTGTCCCATTCTGCCCCCATATGCCTCTTTCTGTCTCTGTCTACCTCTCTCCTGCAGTTTCTATCTGCTTCTCTCTTTCTCTCCCTTCTTCCTTAAAAAAAATTGTATTGTGCAGACGACTCAAGCATCTTGATTTTTATCATTTAAATTTAAACTAAATCAAACGGTTTCATGTCGCTGTTTAAAATATCCAGATGTTAAGGAAATTGCCAACATCAGCTTCTTTTCCTCCCTAAAAATTATGTTTCACCACGTGTCCAAACCCAGCAGAGGGCACCCTTCCATTTCGGATGCGTGAATAGCGCAGGCAGAGGGCTCTACAATTCAAGAATGCATGCTGTTTACAATCGTGCATCGGGATTTAAGTGAAAGGGCTTTTGTAGTAGGAGGGGAACGTTGTTCTGGAGTGTTTGCCATTTTGAATTATAGGTTTAGAAGTAATTTTCCTTTTATAAGAACAAAAGAGGGGGGGGAAAGATCTGTTTCTAGACTCTCTCCAGGTTTGGAGCATTAGCTTCAAATTGCAGCAAGCAGCAAGGTAGCACCTTTGTGACACTTCCTCCCCTAGGCTACCATGTGTATAAATAAAGTGATCACGGAAAGAAAGCACTTTAGAAAGAAATACGCTCATACCTCATTGGTCTGTTTCACTCTCCCTCTGAGATCCCCCAGACTGAAAGACAAATCACAGGACAGGTACTCTAGCCTGTTATATTATCTCAGAAGTAGCAAGATAAGCAGTTTGGCTTATGGATAGGAACATAAGTGATCAAGAACAGAATATCAGGTGGGGCCAACCTGCTACCTGTATAAGCAGGCAGTCACCCACAAATTTTAGTTGAGCACTTTCACAGAAACGGAAATTCCACAATGAGAAATGTCTTACAGTGTCAGAATTTTTCCTGAGTTGAAAATGGCAAATGTCCACAACCCTTACAAGTTATGTTCTCCCTGGTGTGGTTGAGTTTATCAGATCCTCTCTTTATGGAAGTATGTCTTAGGGAGAGAAGGTAAGAACAAGAGAGGCAACATAGCATAATTCATACATCCATTCAACATGTTTCGTTGAGCACCTAATTTGTGCCAAGTCCTGCTCTAGATGCTAAGACTTTACCAGCAAACAGTCAAAGATCCCTTTCCTTGAGGCAGTATGCCAAAGAGCAAGGGTTTGGAGAGCTGGACAGACCTAATTTTAAGTTCTGGCCCTGCCACTTAGCCAGCTACACCACTTGGAGTAAAGGAAGTAATGAATGTTCTCTTTGGCAAAACAGCGATAATCATTAGTATTTCTTGAAAACTTGCTTTGTTCCAGGCATAGGAACTAAGCACTTCTATGTATATATTATCTCATGAAATCCTCACAATCGGCCTCACAATGGATAAGTTTTATTATCATTCCCACTTTACGCATGAGAAAACCGAGGCCCATGGGAAGTATCAGAGCAGGAGTTTGAAACAAGGCTGTCTGGCCCCAGTGCTTATCTCTTAACCCGTGTGCCATGCCAGAGCCGATTTCTAAGGCTACCCCAAGGATTAGGTGAGACAACAGATGTAAAGCTGAGAATGTAGTAGTGTTATTATTATTACTATTATTATTTTATCACTATTATTACTGCCATTGTTGAAACTTTTCTAGGACCTAAGGGTATATGTTGAACATAACAAGAAGATCAATACTTCAAATCAAAATGCTTCTGCTTTACAATGTAGTCTGCACCCAGCTCTGGTTGACAGTAAGATCACATAACGTCACAGCTATTGAATCGTGGCTTCTCTGCATTTATCTTTCTATAAGATGACAGGATATGAAAACACAGATTGATTCTCTGAAGCAAAATGAAAGCATCTCATGCCCTGAGTTTTTCTAACTTTTCTGAAAGCTGAAGGTGAAGACCAGATGCAGAACAAAACCAAGATCCAAGCACCCATCAGCGGTTGACAGTCTCTTTGTTCTGTGAGAAGTGATCACGTAGCGGGTGCCCTGGGCTACTCTCTCTGTCCGCTCTCCAGAGCCCTCTCCCTGGGCTCCCACCCAAGCGTGCGCACAGCTCACCGGGGCTTAACTGCACCAACAGTATTACTCAAGGAGAAACGGAGCAGGCATGTTCTGCTGCTGCACTGGGCGTTCTTTCTGCCTCCTGCAAGCCTAAATGTATGTCTCACGCTGCCCCATTACCCAAATCAAAAACAACTGTAAACAATAAGCAGATAAAATTCTGGCTCCAGGCCCCATTTCTCATTGATTTCATTTCAAAACTGTTGTCTTAGGTTCATTAGGTAGGAAGCTGAGCATTTGATAATGGGGTATAAGACGATTCACAAATGTCTATCTTGTAAATATTCCATTTTTCTCACTTGTACTACAAAAAGTTTTTTATCACACATGCCGACCTTCACAATGCAGAACTCAAATCAACTGAATATTTTAAAAATTTATTCCTATTCACAAAGGCAGTCTCATGCTGATTTTATCTCACTGTACTTCTATGGGGAGGAACACTATGAGCTCCTATCTCAGAGCACATTGTCTGACATAGGAATGAGGGCTTCAGTCCCTTTGGTTTGAGCTCCGGAAAACAGCAGATGTCCCGGTAAGTATATGGCAAGGTGCTTGCCATACAGGCTCATAGATTTCTATCAATAATGGTTGGGCTTCGTGAAAAAGATTACTTACCCCGAGGTAATGGCCATCGATGAACACGACAGGGAGGGAAGGAGCTTCAGAAACGCGTCGACATCGTTCGTCTAACTCTTTTCCGTATTCACCATTCAGGGCTATATTTTTCTCTTCGAATTTTACTCGATGGTTTTGGAAGATCTTTCTAACCAGCTCACACCTTTCGAAGGTTGTCCGGACCACGCGAAGGCAGGTGGTATAAATCACTACGCGGTCAAACTCTAGGTCAGTTGGTGGTTGCTGAAGGGAAAATGTTGTAGTTATAAATATGTTTGCTCTTACTTTCTTATGTTTTATCATCTTAAGGCAATTAACAAGTCTTAGCAAGCGTCTTATACATTAGAGGCACACAGTAAAAGTCGAATGAGCACATTAATTTGGAATTCGAAGACATGTCTTTATAAGTTAGAACATCTGTAATTAGGACAGGAATAAAAATTAATATAATCTGAATGACATTATTTAATTTTTTCCTTTCTCAGTACCACATCAAGCAATGGCATATCTTAAAATTGATGATGTCTCACGGGGGAGGCCACAGGGTAAAATAAGGAATGCCTGGATTATTTTTCTTACGTTTTATAGACATTGTTCAATTGCTATATCTGTCTCTTAAAGTAAAATAGGCCACAGAATAGTCAAGGTTAGCATTTAACCAGTTGAAAATTCTTCTACCCATCAATGTACCACATTGTATAGTCTTTTGAGCCAGAATTTTCTGGGAATAACAAGATCTATATCTTGGATTGTTCTGAGGTTCAAGTTGCCCCACATAGGAGGAAGTGCTCTGTTGACTGGCAGGGCTCCCACACGCAGAGAGAAGTTTCTGCCACAGGGAATAAAAAATCAAACGGCCCAGGATGAAAGTGCACAGAAGCCAATGCCACAGTGGGCAGTGGGTCAAAGCCTCCATGGAAAGAAAACAGGAATCAGAAACACTAAGAGACAAGCAACACTCACAAACAAGAAGACTGCCCCATGGGAGAACGTTTTTCTGCATTTTCTGCTAAATCAGACATCAGTGACTGCTCTTCCTGGGAAACCCTGCTCAGTCCTGTTAAAGTACACGGAAGAGCCATGCCAGGTAGGTCCTGCCCTCAGCAGGTAAGCTCCTCTTCTTTCTGATGGGTCAGTATCTATTGGGGTCCATTGCTCATTTTTTAATTGGCTCACTTATTTCTTTTTCCTATTGAGTTATGTGAACTCTTTATGTATTTTGGATATCCACCCATTACCTGACACATGGTTCACAAACGCTTTCTTCCAACCCTTTAACTGCCTTTCGCTTTGTTGATTGTTTTCTTTGCCATGCAGAGCATTTTAGTTTCGTGTAGTTCTGCCTATTTATTTTTGCTTTTGTTGCCTATGCTTTTTAGGAAATATCTAAAACATCATTGCCAAGGGCAGTCTCAAGAAGCTTTTCCCCTTTGTTTTCTTCTAAGAGTTTTATCATATTATGTCTTATGTTTAGGTCTTTAATCCATTTATGGAGTTGGTTTTGGTATATGGTGTAAGATAAGGGTCCACTTTGGTTTGTTTGCATATAGATACCCAGTTTTTCTAACACCACTTATTAAGGATACTATCCTTTTCCCATTGTGTCTCCTTGTTTAAATTTACTTGATCACATATACTTCAGTTTATTTCTGGGCTCTCTTCTGTTTCATTGGTCTATGTGTCTGTTTTTATGCCAGTACCATACTGTTTTGATGACTATAGCTTTATAACATAATTTGAAATGAGGAAATGTTATGCCCCCAAATTCGTTTATTTTTTTCAAGATTGTTTTGCCTACTCAGGGCCTTTTGTGGTTTCATATGAATTTTAGAATTGTTTTTTCTATTTCTGTGAAAAATACCATTGGAATTTTGATAGAGATTGCGTTGAATCTGTATATCGCTTTGGGTAGTATGGGCATTTTAGCAATAATATTTTTTCCCATCCACAAATATAGTATAACTTTCCATGTATTTGTGTCTTCTTCAATTTATTTGATGTTTTATAGTTTTCAGTATATAGATCTTTCTCCTCAGTAAATTTATTCCTAAATATTTTATTCTTTTTGATGCTATTATAAATGGATTGTTTTCTTGATTTCTTTTTCCAATAGATTATTATTGGCGCAAAAAATACAACTGATTTTTGCATTTTTATACACTGCCACTTTACTGAATTCATTTATTAGCTTTAACAGTTTTTAGTAGAATGTTTAGGGTTTTCTACATATAGGATCATATCTTCTTCGAACAGAGATAATTTAACTTCTCCCTTTCCAACTTGGATATCTTTTATTTCTTATTCTTGTCTGATTACTCTGGCTAGGACTTCCAGTACTGTGTTAAATGAGATGGTGAGAGTAGACAACCTTGCCTTGTACCAGAAATTAGAGCAAAAGCTTTCAGTTTTCCC